CCAGTGGTTCCCAACCTTTTTTTTGACTCGTTCAGTCCTTTTTAGAATCAATTAATAAGGGTGGGCCCCTTAAGCCTACCCTATTTCTTACAAGTTAATTGTATTTAGGAGAAGTCTGTTTTATTGTGTGTTTTTTTTGTGTCTGTTGGAGTAAATAAAATAGCCTGACATGAAATAATATATTTTTCAAACTTTCCTGATTTTTTGCTAATTCTTTTATTTTCATTAAATTTTAATTTTTTTCTTTGAGTTTCCAAGGGTTGGGAACCGATTATCTAATCATTTCAAGGATTTAAATAACATTTTTTTCCAAAAGATCATAGGATAAAGTTTATACATTTTATCTACAGATCCTGCATACAGCACATGTCTTATATTGAAACATCCAAAATAGGAGTTGTGATATTTGTTAGTTCCATTATCTGGCTGGTTCAGACTTTGTAGAAATATTTCCACTATGATACTGGCTTCAATTAATATATTGGTGAGATTAAGTGGAAATTTCAGTTGTGCATCTTTCACCAACTAGTAACCCATCTTGCTCAGTTTCCCCAAAAATGATTTTCTCTATCTGTCACACATCTTTCCATGTCCTTGTACTTATGTAGGTTGCCATACCCAAACGGGGGATAAATAAAAAGGATGAAATGAGTCAAAATTTTCTAAAATACTTCAGCTTCTAATTATTGGACAGTTGAAAGATAAACTGTCAATTATAAGCACTCTGTGATAAATTAATTATACTGAAACATGAAAAAAAATAATGAAAATGCAAGGGAAGTACAAGAAGTAATGTTAACCTCACTCACAGCATGATCGAAATGTAACTTGCTTTTTTCTTAGGGATGAATGACACCCAAGGTAGCCTGACTAAAGATGAACAAAAGAGACAACAGGCTATACAAGAGCTGATCAATACAGAGGAGTCCTACAACACAGACATGCAGATAGCTCTAGAGGTAACGTGGTTGCTTTACCTGTTGCATTATTGTCTTACAGGTACTGGGTGGCCGAGTGGTCAATCCCAAGCTAGTGGACTCGAATTCAATCCCCAGTTAAAGCAGAAACATCACCAGCACCACGGGTGGATGGGACTCGTTAACCTTGGATGGCAGGCAACTCATCTAAGAGAAGCAAACTCTGAAATCAAACCTGAGTCTCATATGACATTGAAATATAAAAATTCCACCAATTTTTATGAAGTTAATTCTACATGCAAAAAAAGAATTTCTCCATCAATATCTTGAAAAGAGATAATAGTGCTGATGTGCCAAATAGTGTTGTAAGGAGTGCTATGTTTTCGAATAAACCATGCTTCATACTGTAGTGATTATAAATAAAACAATATTTAAACTTCCAAATTTTTAGTAAAATATAATCAACACATAATGACGTAGGTGTGATTTAAAAATGCAGGCATATATTTTGCATTGTGAAATGCCTACTATCGGGATCATTTCTTTTTGTAATTTAGAAGAAAAAAGAAAAATCATAAAATTTGTAAACTTGTGTACATTTAACTTTTTCAGGTGTTCAAAAAGCCGTTACTAAATGGGAATGTCATTGCGGAACAGTTTGTTCAGCAAATTTTCATCAATTGGGAGGAGTTGATAGTGTGCAATAAAAAACTTCTACAGTAAGTTAAAACACATAATTCAATAGAGCTCCATATTTTAACTGGAATTTTAGATTAAATTATATGAAAACAACCATTTCAAATATTTCTACCTAAAGAATGTTATTTATTTTCCTTAAAATATATATTTTTCAAGAATTTCAGATTTTCTGAAATGTCTCCTCACGTGGCCCTTATTTATTAATGCCATTGCTACACATAGAGGCTCACAGTAGACAATTATTGGTTTCAGATTAATTTATTTTTAAATTCGTCAAAAATTTTCTGATAGAATATAGAATGCACAAGCAGTTCAGTTTACAATAAAAAATGTTTTTGCTCTTGTATCTCCAGAGCTCTGCGTGTGAGGAAAAAGATGTGTGGAAAAAATGGGGTTATTGTTAGTATAGGAGATATTTTATGTGAAAGTGTGAGTTTCCACAATAATTTAAATAATCATAAATTAATATTAAACTAATAAAGACAAATGGTGGTAGACTACTGATTAGATCTTACAGCCACTTTGTTTTTAGCGTTTTCCTTTCATAATAATAAAAATTATTAATTATTTTTATGTGTTGCCTAAATCGCAAATTATTTTAAACATGTAAAAACATTTTTTTTAAAATGACAAGTCTGAGCAATTTTTATACCGTTTAGTTGCCCTTGGTCTCTATGAAAAAAAAACAACATAATTACATTTCTGTTTCAGTTGCCACACATGAATCCTTACATGCGTTTTTGTAGCTGTCAGCTGTCTGCTGCTGCTACCTTACAGAGAATATCCGAATCTAGCCAAGCATTCCTAGAATTTCATAAAGTAAGAGATGTAGTTTGGAAAAAAAATTAACTTTTATAGTTTTTGTTTTTATATTGCGGGTGTTTTTGTGTGTGGCATTTTAAAAAATTGTGATACCAGTTGACAACAGAAAATATTTTTTTTTTTAAACTCTCAAAATTATGCTCATTATAAGCCAGGACTAATATTTTATTACCTTTTTTTTTTTTTTTCTTTTTTTAGCTTGGAATGAGTCACTTTTTTACATGAGAATAACTGAGTGAGAAATTTTAAATTTAGCTTATTTTATTTTTCAACAGTTTTTTAATATAATTTATTACATTTCCTATGCTATCAGAAAATATACCTAAAAAGGATAGGATTAGTCTATTTCCTTTATTCATCAGGCTGCAATGCAGAATCCAAAAGTGAAAGGAATTCATCTCAGTGGCTACCTTTTAAAACCTATGCAGAGAATAACTCGTTATCCATTACTTATAGACAAGGTTTGTTTATTATTATTAAATAATTATGTTGGATAGAGGGAAAGGAAACTGAAAATGTGCCCCCATCCCCGATTTGGGTTGTGTGCACATTAAATATCAGAAAAGGCATTAGTAACAGACCTGTTTACTCTTACGATTTTGGTGTACCTTTTACGATTTTGAGATGCCTTTTACGACTCCACACCAAGACCTGACAGAACTAAAATTTTAAGAGACGGAGTTGAAAATATATACATTCCGGTAGTTTTTTCAGATAAAAAAATTAAATAAAAACTACCGTACATTTTTGGTTATTGTTTTAACTTGCATTTGCATTCTAATTTCAGCAGTGAATGTATTGAAAAATATAGCAACTTGCTATTACGTTTGCCCTGAGAGTAGAATGGAGTAGTGTTGATTTATGAGATTTTTTTTTTACGCGTGGGGGTGGTCTAAATATTTAGCATGTGAAATTAACACCACCACAATTTCGTAATAATAGTGGTGATGGTCATATTGTTCTTTGTATTTTCATAATGAACTCTCTAGACATGGCAACAGTCATATTAGCTTAGTTGAGCTAGTGACAAATTTAGTTAATCCGTGGCAATCTATATAGTACCTTCACAGTAAGCGGGGAAGGGATGTAGTTAATTTTTTAGATATTTTTTAGATTTTGTATATGCATGCTCATTGTTTACGGGTGGGGGGGGATCTCTGCAGAAGATACTTACATTATTAAAAAAAAATCTACTATATTCATCCTGAAAGTCCCAAAATAGCATAGCTGATAACTCGAAAGCTGTAAAAAATATCATGCAATTTTTGTAGAAATTATCTGCGTATTTTCACAAATGAACTCGCCAGAAATACTCAGATTATACTAAGTAGTAGAGGTATTACTGTAATATTAAGTTCATCATATGATCAATGTGCATTTGACGTATATTTGTTGTGCTACGCCAGTGCTTCTAAAATTTTTGTTTACCGCACCTATGTCTAAATTAGGTTTCACCAGGCTTCTTGTGTTAAATTCTAACAAGTAAGCTTCGAAATAGCGAATACATAAAAAATATAAAGGGTTGGGTCAAAATAAATATAACATGCAAATCACTAAGCACCATATAGTAACGGCTAACAGTAGTTACTCTACTTTGTTACTGGCGGGAGGGGGGGTAGAAATTTCAACTTTGCTTTTGCTTATGTACTTTACAGATGGCCCCTCCACCTCTTTCTTTGCATGGATGCTGCATTACTTAATTTTATGACATAATTATTTCTTACGGCTGAACTGGGGCAAGTCCAGAAACAGACGCCTAAAGAGTGCATTCTCATCTGTTCCACGCAGCAACATTAGATTTCAACATATTTAATAGGATCTGAGAGGGCTCTTGAAATAAATTTTTAGAACGCAAAAAACAGCTATATGATTTTTAATATTCTGCACGTTCACCTAAATATTAATTGACATTTATAGCAGATACACATCTGAAAAATAACTGATAACAATATAAACGTCAGTCGTGTACTTTTAGAAGTAACCTTTTTTGATGTCAGCTTAACTCGATCCCTCTTGACACGCAATGAGGGTAGTTATACATTATGTTTATTTATTTACTATTAAGATACTGTACTGTACGATTTTGTGACGATATTGTACGATTTTTGTAGTTCAAGGGTAAACAGGTCTGTAGTAATCACATTTAAATAAAATTGTATATAATTTTTACAATATTTTTATGTCTGTCTTTCACACGATTTATAGTGTGTTGGAGAAAGAGACTGAGGCAGTTGCTAATGAAAATGATAATTCAAAATTAGTATTCTTTGATTTATTGTATAGTACCGGTACTGTCTCTTTTCATGGAGTACACCTCTTACCAAAATTTATGCCATCTGATGACCAGGTCAATGTAACTACATATTTATCTTCAACAAAATGTGTTTTTTTCCAAACAACTCTTATTATTGGCAAGTAAGGGACCAGCTAAAGACTGGTTAAAACCTATTTGAAACCTCTTTGCCAGATTTTATCAAGTACTCCACCAGATCATGCAGACAGAGGAAACCTTGAAGAAGCACTAACTTTAGCTCAAGAGCTCTGCAGTCAAGCTAACCAGTGTGTGAAGGAAAAACAGAATTCTGACAGCTTAGAGTGGATCCAGTCCCATGTACAATGTGATGGATTAGCAGAAGTGAGCCCCCCCAATTAAAAATTCAATAATATGAATCATTAAGACACGGAATAAAATTTGAATTTCTAATTATCAATTATGACAATGCCTTAAATAGTTGAAACATCTCAAGAATGAAAAATAGAAACAGAGTTGAAGAAAAAATAATTAGTCAGTTATAGATTTTTAAAAAATTAACTTTATAAATATAAGCTTAAAAAAAGTTTTCTAATGGTAAAAATGTGTAATTTACTTACATAAAACTACAAGTAGTGGAGAAGCTAATACAGAGAATGGGGATTTTTTTTAAACAAAATTTTTGAAACATGAAGATATCACTTATAAATGAAAGAAAGTTTTTTAAATGACACCTATTTATCAATTGATGTTCACCTTTCATTATCTAGATCTGATACTGATTACAGGATTGCTACATTCTTGAAATTTTTTGTTTCAGAATATAATATTTAACTCCTTAACAAACTGTATGGGACCACGTAGACTTTTATTCCATGGAATTCTTTTCAAGGTGATTTTCAAATTTAGTGCATTGTCAAAGCTGTGTATTCTTATTGTAAAATAGTATTGTGTATTCTTATTGTGTATTCTTATCCACATTGTTTAAAAGATTAATTAAATTCTCATTATATTTGAAAGCTATCATTTCTATGCTGGTTGTATTTTAATGCATTAAATTGAGGAAAAATGTCCATAACAGTAAGAAATTTCCATGCATGGACATGAAAACAAAAAATGACTCTGTTTTTTCCATTTTGTCTAGGCTAAAAGTAGTAAAGAACTAGTTGGCTTCCTTTTCAATGACTTTCTTATGTTGGCTCAAACATCCCGACCTCTTGGCCCCAGTTTCAGCACAGTCCATTTATTCGATACTAGTACCTCGTTTAAAATGTACAGATTGGTAAGTGGATATACCAGACTGATAAACTATTTGAAACCACATCATATTTTTATGATTTTTTGTATAGTTAAATATTCAGTACATTTGTTCTAATCATTTTCAGTTAAATTAATAAAAAGTTATTGTTTTACAGCCAATATTTTTAAATGAAGTGACTGTTTCAAAGTCTGGAGATGACGGAGATCCTTTCATTTTCCGCATTACAAGTGACAGAATTATCAATCTTAAAGCAGTTTCAGCTGTGGAAAGGTAGGTATATTATTATAACAAATGTGCACTTTGTTTTATAAATAAAGTGTGTAAAGTAACTGTTATATAAATAATCAAGTGTGTAACCTAAATGTGTTCCATAATATTGTTTATATTTAACTCTCTGAAGTTATGAAAAATGCCTTCAGTTTGTTAAATCAGAAATAAGAGGGTGTGCTTGGTGAACAGGGAAGCATGAAAGAAAAACAAGTTATCTGGTCCACTTCCTGCAGCTCAGCATCTCCTAGTTAATCAATAAACACAAAAACTAGAAAAGAAGTCATCTTTGAAGTTGGATTTATTTCACATGGGGCTTTTTTCCAGTGATCTTAATCTTGCAGATGTTTTTTTAAGCATGCTATATATGAATTTATTGTTATGTTTTTTATCAATATTGAATGATTATTTAATTAAAAAATAATTTTGTTTGCTGAAAAGATGTATTTATTCCAGGGATACCTGGGTGAGAGAAATCGATAATGCTTCCAAACAGTACAAAGATAAGGCTAAGAGGAAACTTGAAAGAGCTCATTCAGGTAAAAATATTATTATTTATTTTGATGAGAAAATCTTCTTTTGAAAACAAAAACTTTGCTGTGAGGTTATTAATTAGTTGAATTGAGAAATCAGGCTTATGTTTTTAAGGTCAAGTGTTTCCCTTGCTGAACCAGCTTATATTTACTATCTGGACAAGAGATTGAAAGCTGACTATACAAATATAAACCCAACATTCTGTGTTTAGTAACAGATAGAATATAAATAATGGTAATAACTGTACATTTTTTCACAATTCTGTTCAATGATCCATAATATCAATTAGTGGCTCATGGTTTTTCAATGGAAAATTTAAAAAATTCACCATGGTTGTATCTGATATGTTATTCCTAAATGCACAGTCTATCAATACTATCATTTCGCTTTATAAGCTATTGTAAAATAAACCTTCAAGGGCATGCTGAGGTGCTGAAAGTATTCATCAAGAAAATCTTTTTATTCCACCCTGTACCAGAAAGATATTTTTAGAATATCTTTATCCATCAATGTGCAGAAAGTACCATATGGCTATCAAATTAAAATATATTTATAAAAAGATTGTGTACCCCTTTATTTCCTGTCTAAATAATCTTTAGTATTACGAGCAAAGCCTGTGGGGAGACTGCTGGTAGTGGTTGAAGAAGGTGTTGGCCTAAGGCCAGCCCTTGATGCTGGTAGGTTCAGAAGCCATCTTTGTTCAACTAAGTTAATGTTGGGTGTTGTCATCTTGCACCTGCACTGAGCATTTGTGTTTTTAGTTCAAAACATCTGTTGCATGGTGCACCATTTTAAATTCTATTTTAGTTGATCTGGTTGGTTTATAAAGTATGCTTTGGTTAAACAAAACCTGTAGGTGTAGAAAAAGTATAGAAACATTACTTTTTATATCAGTTTTAACAAATGAATTTAACAAATAAACAAAAGTTCAAAACTTGGCATGATAGAATATGTACGAAAATAAACATTAACAATGAGGTCAGGTTTTAAAACTTAATTTATTATTTTATTGACTGAAAACCTTTTCAAAGAAATCTCTAAAAATATCTGCTAAAACTTGAGAATAAAATTGAAATGATGTAGCTGTCTGCAAATCATAACTTGCATATCATTTTAATTAATACCTAAACCTTTTAGTAGTCAGCCATTGCGCTTAGGATGTGCACATAATGGACAAGCAAAATTAAAAACTATTACTGGCATTGGAAATCTAACATTTTTCAAATAAAATAGACAATTTTTCAGAAGCATGAAATGTATTTTTTATTAAATTCTGGGCCCAGAGCACGGAATTGATTTTGGTATATTCAAGATACTTTATTTTCTTTTTGAAATTATGTAATTTTTCTATTGGTTTTAATTATAATCTTTATTTTTTTATTTTGATCTCTACTTGTTTTATGATTTTTTGCATTGTTGCATGCTGATTCTGTTTTTATTTTGCACTTTTCTGTTTTACTGCATGAGGTGCTATGCTGTTTGTTGTTTTTCTCTTGTTAGTGAAGAACCCAAATGGTCGAATACTAGTTGTGGTTCAGGAGGCTTGTCATCTCAAAGCCTCTGACTCTAATGGTAAGTTTTCTTAAAATGTTCGAAAGATGAAACATAAATGTGACATCATTCAAAGAAACCAATAAAAGTTGAATATATCATTCCATTTATTTATCAAGATTTCAAAAAGATGGATGAATAAATTTAGTGGCTCAATTCTGGAATGCAATTTAAACTATCGCTGTGCAAATTGTATAAAGTAATTATTAAATATTTTGTGACATTTCAATTTGTTTGTTTTGATTAATGTACATTGTGATATTAAAAGATAATTATTTATGATTTTATAATTATTAATTTAAAATATTATGTAGCCTAAACTCTTTTACATTGCTATTTAAATATGGTTTTGCTGCCTCATTTAAAATCAATCTTTTCATGCTAGCAAAAAGTGATCACATGAAAATAAATGCGAACCATTCAGTTAAAAAAATTAAATTTATACTTGTTAATATCAAATATTACTTACAATGAAAAATTATAATATAAATTTTTAAAATATTATTTTTAAAGTTTGATTGAAATAAGACATCGTTCATAAGGTAATCTGTCAATTTAAAAGGATATGATTAAAATGCATGTATCTACTTTAGAACTATTCATAATTAACATATTGACTTTTTCCATGGTACATAAGGTATGTGATTTTTGTTAACTATTGTTAACAATTTCAGGAAAGAGTGATCCCTACTGTGAGGTAAGCATGGGCTCACAGGAACACAGGACCAAAGTCATACCTGGAACACTCAACCCTCGTTGGAATGCTTCTATGCAGTTTCAGATACGAGATGTGGACAGGGACACTCTCTGTTTCACTGTCTATGACAGAGATTTGTACTCTCCCAATGGTAGATTTTAAGAAATTTCCTAGACTCAATAGCAAATGTTAACTATAAAAATTTTTTAAGCAATATCAAAGTTCTGTGTATCTGTATCTGAGAGATAAATAGATTTTAATTAATTTTTTAATTGTATCGCATCTCCCTCCAACAGACTTTTTAGGCCGCACAGAGGTCAGAATCAAAGATGTTCTTCAGAGTGGAGAGAGACGGGGCCCAATCACAAAGAGGCTTATACTTCATGAGGTTGAAACAGGAGAGATTATTGTTAAATTAGATCTGCAGCTCTACGAATCCTAACGACTGCTTATATCTTTGTCTAACAGAAAAATTGTTACTCTACTCCATTTTTATGAAAATTATTGAAGTCATTCCAAAAATTATGTCTTGTAAATTCATTGTAAATCATAGCTACGCGATTTGTATCTTGTTCACACATAGGTCATAGCAAGTGTGTCTTGTTTTCTTTTGATAGTTTTATGTGAAATCACGGCCAAAATGGATAAATTGTTACTGAAGAACCAACCCTAAAGCCCTCTTTTCAAAAGCATTTTAACTGTTGGTTGGGCTGGAATACATGAATGGAATTACTGCACCCAATTTTAATTACATGTTCTAACTAGATTGAATGTTATTGATAATAAACAGTCATATAATTATTTCATTATAGAAATTTGAAAAGGTTTTGCACTATTTAAAAAAACTGTTTCTTTTTTAAAATTCATATTCCTTACAATGAGATAGCAAGAATGTGAAAAGCTCTTTAAACACAACTGTACAACAAAACAACCCTTCAAGCAAAGATATTAAGCAATATTGAATAGTGCTGCCTGCTTTTAACAATTTCAAATAAGACTATGTCACTGAAATATCTCACTATGGTTCTGTATTAATCCACCTGGTACTAAGAAATTATTTTAAGCTTAAATGTTAACTTTATATAACTACTTCAGTTTCTGGCATTCAAACTAGAGAAGTTTTTTATTTTTTTTTTTATAGTGAAACAGTTTTTATAGTCATATACATGTATTAATTTAAAGATAACTTGTTTCCACCTGCTTTCAACTTAATTCAGGATTTGGAATTTCAGCATCATGTTTTTGTCAATAATTATTTATCTGGTGAAATCAGTATTTGGAATGAGCTATGGTCACTTCCTGGAAAAATTTTCCTCTTTGATGCTTTTAAATAGTTTTTACTCAGTCCTTAATATCTGAAAGACACTTCTATGTCAGCTGGATGATTGACTTTTGCTGCAAAACATGTTAATATAATTCATAAAATTCACTGTCAATAATTTTTTAATCTAATTTCAATTTGACAAAATATGTGTAATTTTACAATATCCATTTAATAGGTAATACTATTTAAGTCAAATTTTCTTCTTTTTTTCTTTATAGTACTTGTATAAGATTTATGACCCATTTAAAGGAATAAGTTTTTTAAGTATTCAATCAGGGATATAATATAAAATATAAGTCAAATGAACCATAGCCCAATTGTTTGCGACTTACAATTTTTTTACCATTTGGTAAACATTTTTGAAGGGTCCTCATTTAAAGGCAGCTTGAACGAATTACATAGTTTTCATATAATTATTTTTCTTTTTTTAAATTACTAGTATTTTTACAAAATTGCATCTTGATTATTAATACTATTTCAAGTTTAATGAAGTATGAATTTACTTTTTTTCCTTGATTTGTGCCTTGAAATGATCCCGCATTTGACTCTATTGGTAGGTGAAGTGTAAAAAAAAAAAATCATTTTATTTGTATTCATAATGTCAAGTAACATCAAGTATTTTGTTCTAAAAATGCACTGTGATATAGTCACAATGAGTTCATTAAATGCTTAACTGGAACAACCACCATAATATCTAGAACTACTACATTAAAGACATGTGTCTCAACTCATGCAGGACAGTGAGACTCCTCATCTAGAAATATTCGGATTTAAACTTTTTCAAAAGTTATCTGCTCCATTACCCCACCACCATTATGTGATGCTTATGTCTGCTCAGATAAGTTTAAAATTTGTCAGAACTCTTTAAAAATTATTTTGTTTGTTGTCTGCACTTATTAAAACTTTCAGCTGATTTCTTTCATTTTAAGATGAAGTGCAGACCCAAAACTGTAACATGGTGTTTAAAAAAACTTGTTACCTTTATATTATTATTTGACATTCAGGGTGTATCTTGTGTTGACAGTTTTGTTGAAAGGGTTAGTTTATTAACAATGTTATTCCTGAAAACGAAAAACTATATTTAGCCATCAAATGTGATGCAATAATAATTCTACACAGAATAGTTTGTGATACCAGACTGTGTTCAAGTAATTGGGTCATATTTAAGAAACTTTTTGTGGTAAATCACTTTCACCATATTCCTATTTGTTTGTCTAACCACTGAATCATTATAATAATTCTTGTGTTGTCTTTCACCTAACCTTGTAAATAGTGTAAATAATAATTTTAAAAAAACATTTTGACATTAAATATACAAAATAACTAAAAGCAACCATCTTATTCCAAGAAAGCAAATTAAAATACAAATTTATTTGAATCAATTAAAAATAAATTTTTTTGTTTAATAAACTAAAGGTCATTAGTGAAAAAAAGACTGATAACATATATGTTCAAATTTATAAGTCTCACTTACTACTTTCCCAGTTTTTTGATGATAGTGTTTTGTTACAATTCATTCAATAATATCATCTTTAAAATAGTGTTATTATCTATGAATGCAAATGCTTATAGGCTTAACTTTTGCTATGCATCATATTTAGTACAGAATAGTTTTGAAAAGTCGTCTACTGACAACCTATTCTCCCACCTATTATTTTTTCTTAAACTAATTTTCTACCTTGATACATAGGTGGGCAAATTACATGAAATACCCTATAATATAAATTTAATCGGTGTAAGATGTTAAAAAAGCATTATAGAAGCCAGCATGTATTTTAAAAATAATAAAATCTCATTTTAGCATTGTTGAACAAGAGTTTTATTAAAGTAATGTTATGATGCAACAAAAATTGTGAAATTTCTCTTTGTGATGAATTTATACTATAGTACCGGTAATGATAATTTTAGTATTTACTACAGTTACTGTTTTTTACCCCTTCCAAGCTGCAGTTTCATATTTTTTGCATGGATTTCAAACTGCCTATTTATGGTTGCCATTGCTGGGTGCATTCTCCTTATGATTTGATCATTTATTTACTTTGTAATGATGCAATAATTATTCAGTATCTGCCAATGCTACAAAATATACAATTATAAATAATATGGTTATATCATTACACAGATCTTCTAAAATGATGTGATTTTAAATTTCCTATTTATTTTAGTATCAAGTCTTATGAGAAAACAATAAAAAAAAAATCCTTAAAAAAAAATAATTCATATTTTTTTATCCACTTTTTTTTTTATTGAATTAAAAACAAAAATTAATATCTTGCCTTTTTAATTTGCTAGATGTGATAGTATTAGTGTTGCCCTGTTTGTTACGTTATTCTAATTAGACCAACGATAACAGTTAAAAAGAATGGACTATACAAAACTCTGGGATTCAAAATCAGTTGTGTTTTAGTTCCAGACATGGCTATCTTCTTATTAAATAAATAATCACAACAATGAGACACAAAACAAATTATGTATACTTAGCAACACATTCCTCAGTAAAAAGCTAAAAAGAATTGAATAGCCAAGATTTTCTTTAGAGAAACGCTCTTCCATATTGCTAAGCTTACAAGAAAATATTTAACCAGGAATTAAAAACACTTAAGCAAATATCACATTACCAACTCATATCTTCTCTTGTTATTCTTTCACAGATTTAAATAATAATTATGATATTCATTATACCATGACAAGATATTGTAAATAAAAACTTAAGGATTATTTTAAATTTGAAAATATAATTTTTTAAATTGTACTTTTTCAAATTCATTTAATTAAACTATGCACTCTTTGGAAGTTTAAGTAAATATCACACATCATCATAACTTTCTTTTTTAATTTTAACATTTTTCATAGATCTGAAATTTAAATATACGCTACAAAGTAAAACTTTTGCTCTAAGGCTTTTTTCATTTTAATAAGCTTTTAAAATTTTGAATAACTATAATGTAAGTGTTTTTTGTCCATGTTTCTGTTCTGTTTCTGTTAAACAAGTTCTGTGTATGAATATTTTAATCATGTGCTTGAAGATTTGAATTTGAAAATATTTTTTGAAAAAAGTAATGGGTAAACCATTGGATTATCTGTGTGAAAAAGAAAATGAATGTCAAACTATATTTATACAATTTTATTGAAGGAGATGTTAGTAACCTGCATGTATAATTTAGTTATTCAATGCACTCCTTCCTATGAAATGTCTCAACGCACCAGTCTTAATTATTGTAAATATATCATATTTTTAAGAAAGTACTTGTTCATGCTGTGTGGATAATAGTTATAGGAAACATTTTTACATTATAGATTTAAAGAAAATATGAAATTAATTTTTTCCCCCCTCGTCTGTCATATATATACACTTAAGTGGAACAATGTTTGTGATCTAATGAAATGTATAAGACCATTTTATACTTAAAAATAATTAATTCTCGACATACTGGGGCACATTGTTTCAGTTCTTAATAATTATTTAAAATATTGTTTTGAAATATTGAATAAATTGATATATTTTTCTGTTTTAAGGTAATTGATTATAAAACGATGTGTTATTGGTAGCCCATCAAAAGCTATGTTTATAATTGAATATATAAAACTTTTCAAATAATTATCAAAAGTTTTGAGATAATGAATTTCAAATATGTGAAAAAAGAAGTTGTAATGTTTGATATCAAGGAGAATTTAAATTTAAAAAAACAATAATGTCAGAAATAGACTTTTAAATTGAAATGGACCAGACATTAATTGAAAAGAACAAATTTAAATGATGTCAGACGAGATTCTGTTAGATAATCTGTGATAAAATTGGAAAATAAATTAAACAACAAATCAGTACACCTATTTTAGTGTAATGAACCAAAAAACAGAAAACATGTAATGAAAAGTGAAGATGAAAATTGTTGTTCAATTTGTTGTGACTTTTCATTTTTTTTTTTTGTTTTTTTTTTGTTTTGATCTTGACATTTGAGAAATCCTGTACATGATGGTTTGGTTTATAAATTAATGCCAATAAACGATTTTAAAAATACACAAATTGTTTAACATATACTATGTTTGTATGACAAAGGAAACTAAAGAATCTTTTAAGGACACAGTCTTATAAAGAGACAGTCTCATAAAGATTAACTTTGAAAGGAATTTAAATTATGTCTGTGCAGCAAAATCTGATTTTTTTAAAAATACATTTATCTTCCCTAAATTGGACTGGCTGTTGCTCCACTCTCTTACTGATGTTGTTGTTGTATTTATATATGTAGTTTCAAAAAGTGTTAAAAATATAGTTCTTTCTACCAATCATTTCCCATGTGAGCAGTGAAAGGGCAGTGACAATTGAAATAGCATACATTATTTTGACTGGCCAGCCAGTAAAATGAAGCTGAAGAAACAATTTTACTTGTTGAAGTACTTTCAAAACGAGTAGACAATGTAATTCATTTTATTGGGACTAGTTTACTTGTAGTTTAATGAACTGATTATTAAAACTCAAGAAAATCTATCAAAGTCTCAACACTACATGGCACAGTCCATGCTTCTTTGATTATTTTAAGACTACCTTGCAGATCAATCATAGGTGGTAAAAAGTATGAGTTGATTGATGATATGTAGGTCTACACTGTCTGTCTTCTTTATGGCTTTTTATTTAAATGCCCAACACAAAAACCTAAATCTATTTTAACTTTTAGAAAAAAAAATTAATTGACTCAATGTCCACATTTGTGATTTTCTTTTGTAGATTTGCAGCAACATTAGAGATATTTAGCAAATTTTTGTTTAAGTTATGCAGTTTTATGAAATATTTTTAGGACAAGGACTCTTTAAGCTTTCTTCTACAGATTGCAAGTTGAGACAACACTTTTGTAGGTGTGTTGCAGCTCTTAGGCTCTCAATTTATCTTCACAAGGCCCTTTGGTTAGTGTTAGTTTTAATATTTCTTTCCAATTTATTTATTATTATTTAAGAACCTTTTCATAACTTTTATCCCTATTAGTATATGTAAACTTTAATTTTTGACATTTTTAAATGTAACATTTAACTGAAACTGGTGAGCATCATTAGATCAAAATTCAAATTTACACATTAAGCATTACATATACACATTGTATTTATAAGTTATTGTTCTGAAAATACACATTAAATAAATGATAATAGCCTACATTGAACATGTTCATAAAAATGAACTAAAGTTAAAGTTATGCCACTTTTGGAAATGACCCAAAAGTAGTAAAAGGAGCCTAACAGTAAAGTTCACACATCCGGCGTATCTCTAGCCAGCAGGAACTAAAAATAAAATTAAGTCCACAACCACTTGAAGTGTTGACATACACTACATGACCCATAGCCGTGTAAAACTAGAAGCCAAAAAAAAAAAAAAGGCAATTTCTGTGTAACTTTCAAAGCGTACTAAATCAATCAAAAGCTATGGCGAATCAAGATCCTAAGTTATATCCTCCTGGTGATATCGTCTTTTTAGATAGAGGTGAAGGGACCACTGCGTTAATACACTTACACGGTAAGTTGGACACTCAAACTCAAAGTTTGAACTTTAAAAAATCAGTCAAATCACAACAAAGTCAAACCTGATTCTTAATCTCAATCATGATAGTCTGATGTCATAGTGAATGTGATGAAAATATTCTATAGTTCAATAGCCTCTATACTCTAGGCCTAATCGTAATAAATAAAATGGTTTATACTTAATGAATATATGATATGCTCAAATAATCAAATTAAATCGTACTAGTTATTAGAATAGATTTTTAACATGGTTGACTTTGTACGGCGTTTCCAGCCTTTGGGGATGAAGCGTGTTTTTCAAATAAACTTTATTATTATTATTAATTCCTAATATGCCCATATATTTTGGCTTGGATAGCAAAAGTCCAAAGTCAAAGTAATAATAATAAAATCCTGGTTCCCAACCCATGGGTTGCCATTGCAAACTTGGAGATGCAGAGGGTTTTCAGCAGGGTGGTGGATTGCAATGGTGAACTAAAGAATATAGGCCTAATAGTTAGTAATACTTTGTAGGCCTTAACCTATATCATGTGTTAGTAATTTCAAAATACTGTATTGCATACATTTTTTTACATGTTTTCTCTTAATAGGAGTCTTTTAATTATTATTTCTTATGTATTGATTTTTTAAAAAATATATTGGTATTTCTTGTCAATTACTTCATTTAGCTTCTACTTCTACTTCTACAAAATGGGATTGCCACTCAAACAAAGTTTGGAAACCTGTAGCCTCATAGTAATTAAGCCTAACTTAATATTTTTATTAATGTTATTACTATTACACTGTTTAGTCTAGGGCCTAGGGCTATAGTAATACTAATTTATAAGCTTCATGACTTTGACGTAATACTTAAATTAGTAATACTCTACCCTTTAATGATCAAATGGCAAATGAATATCAGTAAAGAGAGCACACAAAGAATGTTTATTTCTATATTTAGGTGCAACCATCATTTCATGGAAATGCAATGGCGTTGAAAATCTCTATCTCAGGTAATATGTCTATCTCTGGTAATATCTCTATCTCAGGTAATAATGCTTTTGTTAAAACAGAGACACTATAACAGTGATGGATTGCCAACTTTTCTCATAATAATTTTAGGTGTGATGTGAAAGATGCTTTGTTAGATAGCCTAAGTTCCGCATTCCTCTGCAACATTATGTTTACAATCATTCTGCATTGTCTGAAGGGTTTCGTTGTCTGAATATCGGTATCCATATTAGTGCTAAGTTTTGAGGAGAGCTTTTCAGAAGAAAAAACAAAAAAACAGAGCACTAAGAAAAGGCAAACAAATATGTTGAAACAATACTACCAAATAAGAGCTTCACACACGAGTTAGCAACAAAAATAAATTTACAGAAGTGAAATAGTTGGCAGCCCTGTTGTTATTTGATCTCTAGTTAAAATAAATAAGCATCAATTATTCTTCTCTGTATTTATTACATTAATTGATATTGGATAGTTACTTCCTATATCCAAAAAGTAGTATTTTCGCTGCAAGTATTTAAGTTCCTATTTTCTTTTTCCTAAAATAGTCAATCCTCTGTGTTTGATAACAAAAAGGCCATTAGAGGAGGTGTTCCTGTTGTATTCCGTAAGTATTTCAAATTTTGCTGTTTGTCATTGAAAAAGCAAGATATATTTTAAATTCTAAGTTAAGAGAGCACAGATATCTGGTTAAAAAAATATATTTATTATTGCTAATATTCTTAATTTGTTTGTACTAATTATAGCCAACTTTGGACCATGGCCCCTTGGACCCCAACATGGTTTTGCAAGGATCAAGAGATGGAGTATTGCTGTTCCCCCTAGAAAAGTACAGTCAGAGTCGCATCTTGATAAATTTTTCAGAATCTTTGTCCTTTTTAAATCCTTTACATTAACTCTACTTTTGTTCTTGTTTTTCTGGTAATGCCTTTGAAAGGCTATTTGAACCACTTCCCATCATCATATTGGTACATGGACTCATTACAAGTGACAACACATTCTATTAAATTTTCAGTCCAAACCCAAAAAATCAGGGGGAAGATGAATGGTGTGGGGATTAATTGTGCAGCTGTTGCTATTTGCTTTGTATTTCTAACTTATTTGGGTACCGGTACATAGTAAAAATAAAATGTATTTTTGAAAGGGAAAATGAACAAAATATGAAAAATGTTTTTGCCAGAAGTTTACCCATTTACATAACCGCTTCTAAATAAATGATAAACCATGTACAATTACATCCATGCAAAAAAAAAATACATATAAAGGATTTATACGAAAAACTTTGTTTTATAGGTGTTGTTTAATTGAATTATAAGCAATGTTTTACTTTATTTACATTTTATGTTGTGCTCCCAAATAAAAATTGAAAGTATCACAAAATATGCAATTTAAAAAAGGATCAAGCAAAAGGGAGTTGAAACATCCAGTTGTGGGCATTTCAATTACCACGTGAAAAGAAAATAATAAAAATTCTATGGTACCTTCAGTCAAGCAAATCAATAGGTATTTTTGAGGGGTTCTTTTTTTTTTGTTGTCACTTCTTAGTTAAGTAAAGTCTGTCTTGTTAATTATTAAGGATTTTAATGCTGTTTATTGCTCTTCAAGTTTTTGTTCTCGGTGGTAGCTATTTTTTTATTTCATACAATTGTAAATAATTGCAATATCAATATTCTTTGTAATAACAATTTCAAATATCTTTGTGGCTAGAAAGTATTATGGGTGCTATTTTTAACAGGAATTTGATAAATATGTTTTTAAATAGTCACAATCTTTTTATAAACTATGTTAGATAAACAATTTAAAAATAAAAAAACAAGCTTACTAGAAATAAAATTCTTTTTTTATAATAATGACAGGACCACAATGGAGATGTTATTGTTCTTTTTACTTTGGATGCTGATGATGAAACCCTTGCCATGTGGAATTATAAGTACGGATCTAAAGATTTCTGTTTAAATTAATCTTTAAAGTAACATTTCATAATTTGTGCTTAAAATTATTTTAGATGTAATACATGAAAATGAGGTTATGTGATGAAGAAATTGTGGGGAAAAGGCATTTAAAATTTTTTAATTTTTACTTACCATATCTAGATTTAAGTTAGTCTACACGATTGTTCTGACTCCAACAACACTTATGTCCACCTTGGTTGTACACAACAAGGGTGAGTATGATTTAAATGCTAATTCCGTATAATGTTTGATCAGACTGATAAAATTTCATCTAGTTTACCATCAAGCGAACTGGTTCATCACACCCTGTCCCTACCAAGTGTACAAAAAATATAATTTAAAATATATTTTTAATAATCAGTAAAACATATTGACTTTATTTCAGTCACTCATTTATCACATTCTAAATCATACTTTCATTCTAATAGTTGTATCTTTCTATTGAAGTTTATTTACTTTTTGAATTTTACATTTAGATACCAAGAGTCTTGGGTTTACATGTCTTTTACACACTTACTTTAGAGTGGCCAACATTGAAACTACAGCTATTGAAGGACTGCAAGGGCTGATCTTTAGTGACAAGGTATAACATTTCTAAGCTAAGCAGTTATTTAAAGATTAATTTGTTTTTCTTATTTTAGATTACAACACCAGAAACAACTTTGCCTATCAAACTTTTCTCATAAAAATTTAACAGTTGTCACAAATCATTGCTACAAAAGTAATAATTAAATATGATCTATCGAAATAAATACAATAAAATTATTAGTTATGCAAAAATGTATATATTGGTTGTTCAAACCATTAGAATATCAGTATCAGTATACTTTTCTATTTAAATGTTTAAATTTAGCTGAAAGATGGGAAAGAAGTGAAAGAAACAAGAAAACAAATAACAGTGGATAAGAATTATGACAGGTAGAGTCATCTTTTATTATTTTAATTACTTACTTGCTAATAGGGAACACAATAATTGTAAAATTAATTAACATGATAATGTTTTTAAAGTTCCTACTATGCTATAGTTTTTTCATCTGTGAAGATGTAAAAGATCTGTTGTTTAAAAAGTCCTTTGAATTTTAGTTTGGGGATTTTTTATTTTTATTAAATAAAAATGATGTAGAGAAAGTTTTAAGTTTTTTCATTTTCTTTACAAGAGTTTACAAGGATGCACCAAAGACACTGTTTATATCGAGTGGACCTGACCCAGCTCGAAACATTGAACTGGTGACTTTCAACTTTCCAGACATAGGTAAGGTAGATAACGAAGGAAATTCTTTTCAAAATCTATCGGATCTTTTATGTTTCCAAAATATACAGACCAAAGTAAAATTACAAATTTAATGCATTAAAACAAAATTTTATAAAAAAAATAATTTTAAAAACAATGAAATAAAATTGTTCAGCTGTCATTTCTAATTAACGAAGAAAATAGTACCACATTCACTGAGATTTTCAAAAATTATGCTTTGGTAAAATATTATTTTTTAAATATTATTAGCCTCTTCAACTACATGCATAGGAGCCAAAATGATCATAAAGTGATCGTGGGCCCTTAAGATATAGAAGAAGAAGAACTTTAAAGTTATTATTGTTTATACAGTGGTATGGAATCCATGGGAGCAAAAAGCAAAAGAGATGTCAGACTTTGATGATGATGGTTACAAGGAAATGATTTGTGTTGAACCAGGAAAAGTGATTGTTCCTATCACTCTAGAAGCTGGGCAACAGTACGAGTGTAAACAAACTTTAATTTGTAAATTGTAATTGTAATGTCTGGAAGAGTTTCCTTTAAAAAAAACCATTCCAGTTGCAGTAATTTCATCCATAGTTGCGTTTTATTCTTTGATGAATTAGAGGGGACTTTCATTTTTTTTAAAGTGCTGTGGTCATACTTTTATTTATTTAAAGTTGTGATTGTGATAAAAAAATGGCTTTAAAAAATATTTTTATTGTTAGGAAACTTTTGTTATTTATCAATGGGATCTGACAATGGGCTCAGGTTTTATTATTATGTATTTAAAAATACTCTTTCAAAGTTGAAACCTAAGGTGTTCAAAAGTGGTATTTTTCTCTTTTCAAATCACTTTTTAAAAGGTTCACTGTACGGGCTCTCACTTGGAAAACATACATAATAAACACACTCACCCTGCCACACATAAAAAATATTGAAAATAAAACATTTTTTTGGGGTCACTGCAGCTCATCACCCCTTTGAGCTATAATAATAATAATAATAATAAAGTTCATTTCAAAAACACGCTTCATCCACAAAGGCTCGAAGCACGGTACAAAGTCAAAAAAAAACAAATCTATAATTTACCACATTTAAAACAAACACAACACTACAAAAACTAATTACAAGCATACAATGGTAAAGTCTTTCTAGCCATTTCAACCATACGCAACACAGCCATTATGCATTAACTGGAAAATAAGGTTGACAATCATCCCAGAAGGTGTTTGCGAAATAGATTTCTTTAAATCGGTTTTAAAGGACTCCAGTGTCTGGTTGTTTTTGAGATCGATAGGAAGGGCGTTCCATGTAAAATTGTTGTCAAATTTTATCATTTGGCAAATATGTTATAACAATTTAAATCTAATTATATAATTTTGAAATCCATATATTTCATTTTATCTATGGGTCAATTATCAGCTTTTGATTTTATGGCTTTCAAGTGTTTAAATGAATTATTCTAAATATTTTTCCAACTAAAACAATGTTTAGCTTATGTTTTACTAATACTTTTTTGCTATTGTTCAAAATATATTGGATATGATAATATACTACTTGTTAAAAGATCTGGTGCTTTTGTTTTGTACAGATACTTTTTATGTGTCACATATCATATAAATATATCTTAAGTATTATAATGTATACCTATAATTCAACACACATATTTTAAGAGAATTTCCATTTTACAACAATGTAAACTAGTAAATTTTATGTATCCAATTATTTTGATTACTTCAGCAATATTTTTTTTAAAATATTCTTATTTGCACATTTACAATTACTGTACTAATGGTGTGGGTGTGGTATAATTATCATTATTTTCAGTCACTAGAAGTTAACCCATCTTGCATCTCACTGTAATTTTGAAGGGAAAAAAATAGTTTATTACAAATGAAACTATCTCAACCTAACTCACTGTAGTTGAAGTGTTTATTTATGGTAATATTTAAACTGATAACGTAATGGGTCTGCCATTGTGTGGGTGAGGGGCTCAGCTTTATCCCTTTTGTCAAATGATTATTTCTGGACCTTTTTGAAGTTTTTGCTGATTAAAAGAGGCCTACTCTATTGGGAGTGAATTAATTTTATGTCATTTTAATGATTAAAAAACACCATTCTCTGTTAATTATAAAACAAAATTATTTCATATACTAAGCTATTATAATGTGTATTTTATGGATGTTTCTATTCGATTTACATGTTCATCCCGTAATGTCAAGAGTATTTCAAAATATTTTAAATGTTGAGTCAAATCATAGACACCTAATAATCAACTTCAAAGTTTTCCTCTTCAATTTTAGCTTTAGCATTTAATAAATGTTATGTAGTTTTGTTTTTGTGTTTTGCGTATCATAAATTTTAGTTTATTGTTTCTTATGAAAATTTAACTGATATTTTTTAGGATAAATTTATTAGGCTTCATATAATTTATTTAGTTCAGGACATTAAGAAAAATGGGATGTTATCTAGTGCTATTGTAATAAAATTTTTGTTCTAATGTATTAAAGTTACATTAGCTTTCATGATGTCAAGTGTTTTGTGATAACCTTTTTGAGGTAATCTAGTCAATTAGGAATTTTATCAAGACCAAGTCTAAAATAGGCCTATGCATTTTTAAGAATCTTATAATTTAGAATAACTTTTGTTGTAATTTGAATTAATTGATGATCTGTGATTGTAATTTATTGTTTATTTGTTCTGCTCACTTATCTGTTTCAGTCTAAAAACCAAATGTTTTGTAACATGAAATCTTTAGGGTATTGCTCAAGGAATTTTTAAAAATGTACCTTTTATCTGATAAATTTTAAAACATATATTTTGGACAGTACAAAATAGTTTTACAGAATCTGTGATTCCTACATATTTTAGGCCTTCAAAACTTGTCCTATTATGTCATCCTGTTCACGCCGCTTGATGTAATTATGTAGACAGGGTGATGGGTCATGTTTTCTTAACTTCTGTCATTCTTATTCATTTAATTATATTAATATTTTACAGCTGTTTTAGTACATGTGTAATTATCAATAAATTTTAAAAAATATTTTAGAGAAAAGACTTTAATTTTTTTTGGGTCAATTCTTTTATCCATACTCAGGCCACTCCTGTTTTTTTGTTTTTTTTTGTGCTTCATGCTCAATGCTATTCTACTGACATTTTTGTGTGTCAATATCAGTTAGTGTGGCCTATATAATTTTGTATGCCTTCCTGTCAGTTTGAGAACCCTGTGTCATGTTCGTTCTGATATTTGAGCTTCCTATCTTTGTGTACTTTTTTCATGGGTCCGCCACTGCCATCACTTTGCTTTGATTTTATTAAATGTTACAGTCTATGTAAACTTCTGTGAAGATTTGAAGTAATTGACTCTTCAGTCCCCTCCATTCTCAACCAGGACTGCCCGCATCTTCTGGGAGTGCGGGAGGCAGTATCAGGAGGTGTGGGAAGGCCCAGAAAATCAGGGTTATTTGCATTTTTAATCACAGTTTGTTGTCATGGGGTGGCGGGAAAATATGTTTTAAAATTGATGGGGGGTGAGGGGCATTGCAAAAAATGTTGAGAACCCTTTGTCTACGACTACACAGAACAGTGCAGAGGGGCCTAGTGTGGGAAAGAGCATAATACTTTTCCACTACACACACATCATCAATTGTTTAATATACACACATCAAAAAACATGAATGAAAAATCAATTCATACAACTTTTGAAAGTTAGACCAAAACAGTTGAAGGCCACAACTGCTGAAACATGTGCGTTGCATGCAGCAACTCTGACAAACTGATACGACTGTGTCATATGCTTGTATCCTGGCCATTCATATGGCTGATTTCATCTTATTTCTGGTACTGGTTATATTCAAACTTAAAGTTAAATGCTTGATAGCATTCATCCTTACTCCAACCACTGCATGTGCTAAAATCTATTAACCCCTGTGACAGAGATCAGCATCCGTTTTTGAGGGAATATTTAAAAACTCAGACCCTTACATCTGTTAATGAAATATTTTGTGAGCTACAGACGGGTGGATTTTAATATTTTGTTTTAACATAAAATGTGTTCAATAATTTAAATGTTTAAATTTAAAGAGCTGCGTACGGTATTGGAGAAGCAGGTTGCCAACCCCTACATCAGCAAGTAAAGGAGTAAACTATGGAGCAGTTTTCAAGCCATATTAAACAATGCTGCTTCATTGAAAAGGCAAAAAAATTGATTTTTAAAATATAAAGCAATTTTTAAAAATAAATAGGCAAATCAATCGGTTTTGAAAGTGGGGTTTTCTGGGTTTTTTTGTTGTTTTTTGGTGGAATATAAGTACGTCTACTATTTGTCTTGTAAAAAATGGATTTTCAACAAAAAAAATGTTGGGGACAGAAAATGTGGATATGCTAGGGCGTACAGTTTTTGGCACGGTCCTCATCATAATCATAGTGTCGTGGTCACATTCGCATAATAAGCTTGACAAGCACTCTCCGATAGTTCAACTGTTCATTTAGTCACTAAGTCAAGTCTGTGTCGGCTTGGGCTTGGGGGCAACAAGGTCTCCATTGGAAGTAAAACAAGCGGCGCTTTTTCATTTCTGATTAGTGATTTTTTAAACAATAACTTTATAGTGTGGAGATTGTGTTGATATCAATCAATATTATTGTGGTTGGAATCGACCAATATGAAATACAGAGTCTTGATACCATAGTAGAGGAATCACTAGTATTTTGAAGAGACTTGAGAGATCCAACAATTAACAGCATTGTCGATACTAATGTTGCCTTTGCGACTTAATTTGACTTAAACTAAAAACTAAAATTATGATTGCTTGGTCTCAAGACGAGTAAAAACCTATTAAAAATAATTCGGCGAAAACTATTTGTAATACCGGATATCAATAATAAAACAAAATGGCGTTCTTGCAGGTAGGCGTAGATGTAAATAACATATATTTCATTTACTATGAAAAGATTATTCCTAATATGCCAACGGTTAAGTTATATTTAATTTGTGTAAAAAATAAATGCTATGATGGGGAAATGTAGTAATCTATTAGTACATTATTTCACGCTGTTTTCGTTGTAAAAAATTGGCGTAGACGTAGGTTTTTTTAGTTTTTTTTAAATTTTTAGTCTTTGACTCATTGTTATTTGTTACTCTCTCTCTTTTTTTTTTTTTTTAATTTTTAAATTTTTTTTTTTTTTTTGTTTGTGTTTTTTTTTTTTTTTTTTTTTTTTTTTTTTTCTTTTTTTAGCTTGGAATGAGTCACTATTTTACATGAGAATAACTGAGTGAGAAATTTTAAATTTAGCTTATCTTATATTTCAACAGTTTTTTAATATAATTTATTACATTTCCTATGCTATCAGAAAATATACCTAAAAAGGATAGGATTAGTCTATTTCCTTTATTCATCAGGCTGCAATGCAGAATCCAAAAGTGAAAGGAATTCATCTCAGTGGCTACCTTTTAAAACCTATGCAGAGAATAACTCGTTATCCATTACTTATAGACAAGGTTTGTTTATTATTATTAAATAATTATGTTGGATAGAGGGAAAGGAAACTGAAAATGTGCCCCCATCCCCGATTTGGGTTGTGTGCACATTAAATATCAGAAAAGGCATTAGTAACAGACCTGTTTACTCTTACGATTTTGGTGTACCTTTTACGATTTTGAGATGCCTTTTACGACTCCACACCAAGACCTGACAGAACTAAAATTTTAAGAGACGGAGTTGAAAATATATACATTCCGGTAGTTTTTTCAGATAAAAAAATTAAATAAAAACTACCGTACATTTTTGGTTATTGTTTTAACTTGCATTTGCATTCTAATTTCAGCAGTGAATGTATTGAAAAATATAGCAACTTGCTATTACGTTTGCCCTGAGAGTAGAATGGAGTAGTGTTGATTTATGAGATTTTTTTTTTACGCGTGGGGGTGGTCTAAATATTTAGCATGTGAAATTAACACCACCACAATTTCGTAATAATAGTGGTGATGGTCATATTGTTCTTTGTATTTTCATAATGAACTCTCTAGACATGGCAACAGTCATATTAGCTTAGTTGAGCTAGTGACAAATTTAGTTAATCCGTGGCAATCTATATAGTACCTTCACAGTAAGCGGGGAAGGGATGTAGTTAATTTTTTAGATATTTTTTAGATTTTGTATATGCATGCTCATTGTTTACGGGTGGGGGGGGATCTCTGCAGAAGATACTTACATTATTAAAAAAAAATCTACTATATTCATCCTGAAAGTCCCAAAATAGCATAGCTGATAACTCGAAAGCTGTAAAAAATATCATGCAATTTTTGTAGAAATTATCTGCGTATTTTCACAAATGAACTCGCCAGAAATACTCAGATTATACTAAGTAGTAGAGGTATTACTGTAATATTAAGTTCATCATATGATCAATGTGCATTTGACGTATATTTGTTGTGCTACGCCAGTGCTTCTAAAATTTTTGTTTACCGCACCTATGTCTAAATTAGGTTTCACCAGGCTTCTTGTGTTAAATTCTAACAAGTAAGCTTCGAAATAGCGAATACATAAAAAATATAAAGGGTTGGGTCAAAATAAATATAACATGCAAATCACTAAGCACCATATAGTAACGGCTAACAGTAGTTACTCTACTTTGTTACTGGCGGGAGGGGGGGTAGAAATTTCAACTTTGCTTTTGCTTATGTACTTTACAGATGGCCCCTCCACCTCTTTCTTTGCATGGATGCTGCATTACTTAATTTTATGACATAATTATTTCTTACGGCTGAACTGGGGCAAGTCCAGAAACAGACGCCTAAAGAGTGCATTCTCATCTGTTCCACGCAGCAACATTAGATTTCAACATATTTAATAGGATCTGAGAGGGCTCTTGAAATAAATTTTTAGAACGCAAAAAACAGCTATATGATTTTTAATATTCTGCACGTTCACCTAAATATTAATTGACATTTATAGCAGATACACATCTGAAAAATAACTGATAACAATATAAACGTCAGTCGTGTACTTTTAGAAGTAACCTTTTTTGATGTCAGCTTAACTCGATCCCTCTTGACACGCAATGAGGGTAGTTATACATTATGTTTATTTATTTACTATTAAGATACTGTACTGTACGATTTTGTGACGATATTGTACGATTTTTGTAGTTCAAGGGTAAACAGGTCTGTAGTAATCACATTTAAATAAAATTGTATATAATTTTTACAATATTTTTATGTCTGTCTTTCACACGATTTATAGTGTGTTGGAGAAAGAGACTGAGGCAGTTGCTAATGAAAATGATAATTCAAAATTAGTATTCTTTGATTTATTGTATAGTACCGGTACTGTCTCTTTTCATGGAGTACACCTCTTACCAAAATTTATGCCATCTGATGACCAGGTCAATGTAACTACATATTTATCTTCAACAAAATGTGTTTTTTTCCAAACAACTCTTATTATTGGCAAGTAAGGGACCAGCTAAAGACTGGTTAAAACCTATTTGAAACCTCTTTGCCAGATTTTATCAAGTACTCCACCAGATCATGCAGACAGAGGAAACCTTGAAGAAGCACTAACTTTAGCTCAAGAGCTCTGCAGTCAAGCTAACCAGTGTGTGAAGGAAAAACAGAATTCTGACAGCTTAGAGTGGATCCAGTCCCATGTACAATGTGATGGATTAGCAGAAGTGAGCCCCCCCAATTAAAAATTCAATAATATGAATCATTAAGACACGGAATAAAATTTGAATTTCTAATTATCAATTATGACAATGCCTTAAATAGTTGAAACATCTCAAGAATGAAAAATAGAAACAGAGTTGAAGAAAAAATAATTAGTCAGTTATAGATTTTTAAAAAATTAACTTTATAAATATAAGCTTAAAAAAAGTTTTCTAATGGTAAAAATGTGTAATTTACTTACATAAAACTACAAGTAGTGGAGAAGCTAATACAGAGAATGGGGATTTTTTTTAAACAAAATTTTTGAAACATGAAGATATCACTTATAAATGAAAGAAAGTTTTTTAAATGACACCTATTTATCAATTGATGTTCACCTTTCATTATCTAGATCTGA